TACTCCCGGATCTTTTTTTCTGATCCATCTCTTCCAGGGTCATAAACTCCTTTAGGCAGATGTTGTATAAGGCCTATTCTTTGAGCTATCCTAATTTGTTCCTCTTCAGTCAGCTGAGTTGCTAGGCGAGTCTGGCTAGGTGTTGGATGATAGACCGGAACTGGAACTTGTTCCTGAATTTTAAGAAATGGAGAAAAGGATTAGTTTTTAAAAATCTGTTTTCTGGTTTATATTTTCCTTTTGTTTCTTCTTTTTTTTGGTTGGAAGGGGAAAGGGGAGTTTGGGGAGAGGTAGACTGAGCTAGTGTACAGTAATATAAGATTCTGTTTTAGCCAGCTTTAATTTTAGCATATCTGACCTACTTTGAAGGATGTACAGTAAACACAAGCTTCCCTGGGAAAAAAAAAAAGCATGATATATGAAGTATTCTCCATGAAGACCGTAAAACCCAGATATATTCACTCCTGATACACAAATAGGTAATCAATATAATTAATCTAATAAAATGTATGCGATATTCTGTAGGACACAATGGAGTTTTGTGGCCTCAGTATACCATTATTTATATTAGAACTGGCCATGATAGACTCTTATTTGCAAACTTATTTTTTCTTTCCACATAGACAGCAACCTTAAAATTAATTTATTTACTTGAAAAGACTGCATATTTTTGCAATAAATTTTTGTAAAATTCCTTTTAGGTTTCTGGATACATATTTGGATATGATAATTGAGCGAGTCAATATGAGGCCACCTTTCCGCCCAAATGGAATAAAGAGCTCTTAGGGATATATATTAAATAGCCAAATATCTACTTATAACATTCACTTACTTGCATATATTACCATAAAAATATACTAATTTAGACATATTGCCATATTGCTTTTTTCTACTTACATTTATAAAGTAATTTTACTCATACTCTTCATACATTCTTTCGACAGATATTCACTGAGTACTCTTAAGTGTCAGGTGATGGGGAGTTGAGAATAAACAAAATAAAAGTTCCTAGAGTGATGGAGGATGCTAGTTTAGATAGTATGCTCAGGGAAAACCTCTCTGATGAGACATTTGAGAAGGTGCCTCAATGAAGTATAAGTTAGATACTAATAATTGTAAGACCTAATAATCTCCTTGTGGCTAGAACTATTTGAGCCACCTAATACGTTTTCCAGAGAACATCTCTACTGAATAAACTGGCGGAGACATAACACTTTGAATCCATGTATGAAACTTTCATAGGAAATATAATGTCAAATCATAACTACTTACATTAGAAAATAATTATTGAGTTTCCTATTAAAGACATTTTAACATAAGACTTGAAATATTCCTTTTATCTGAGATTCAGAACAAATGTATAATTAAAGAGCTCAAACCCAGTAAATCCTTTATCAAATAATTAAGAGTATATTCTCTGGCATAAGCAAAATGCCAGCAATTCAAAGTTTAATGTTCTATAAATTTCCATATAAATTAATTAATAGTTACTTTAACTACTTTCATACTTCTATCTAATCATTTAGGAAATAATAAGCATGTGAATGCTTATCAAAACTATTTTTTTTCATCTAAATACTTAGTTCATGCATATTACATGCAAAGAAGATACCATATGATTAAGTATGGCTCTTGAATCCTGAAACCTTGGGCTTAAGATATTTCTCTGCCACTTAACAGAGCTACCATGTTTAAGCTATTTAACTTATCTGGATTAGATCCTACCTTACTTATAGTGTTGTTATAAGGCTTAAATGAGGAAGCTGGTGAATTGCAAGAACTCAGTAAATGGCAATTATTATATAATCATTAATATTGCTTTCAAAGAGCTATAACTATTATTGCAGCCAAACTAGCAAGCTTTTCCATCTTACTACCTTTACTCCTGATATTTTTTAAATCTTTCCCTACAGGTACATTGGTCTAAATTCTACCCTATGAAGTAGGTTGTTGACATGAATGAAACATTTTCAGATCCTCTTCCCTGACATCCAATATTGACAGACTCTGCTTCTAGTCTCAGCTTAATTACATAGGTGTTGTCTACCTATAAGAGAATTAGGAAGATTATACAGAATACAGGAAACTTCAGTTACATGTGCAGTCATCAAGTGAGGAGAGTGTCAATTGGTCTCCCACACCCCTTTTATTGAATTTATTGGGGTGACCATGGTTAACAAAAGTCTATAGGCTTCAGGTGCATGATTACAATATATCATCTGTACTGTGTGCTCACCACCTCCAGCAAGTCTCTATCCATCACCATTTATCTCCTATCCCCTCTTCCACTTCCTTCCACCCACCCTGTTCTAGCTTTCACAGAGGAATATAAGTACCAAACTAACTGTATTTCTCTGGTTGAGCTTGAAAGCTTTCTTTTAGCCATGTATATCTATAACACTATGTCTACAGGCAGTATTTTGCTTTATAAACAACTAGAGGCCCGGTGCACAAACATTTGTGCACTGGGGGGGGGGGGGGGGGAGGGGGAGTCCCTCAGCCTGGCCTGTGCTCTCTCGCAGTCTGGGACCCCTCGGGAGATAACGACCTGCTGGCTTAGGCCTGCTCCCGGGTGGCAGAGGGCACGCCCAATCCCTAGGTGCAGCCCCTGGTCAGGCTCAGAGCAGGGCCGATTGGGGAGTTGGGGCGTCGCCCCGTCATGCTCAGAGCAGGGCGGGATCGGGAGGTTGTGATGCCACCCTCAGTCACGCTCAGGGTAGGGCCGATTGGGGGGTTGGGGCACCGCCCCCCTGTCACACTCAAGGCAGGGTCGATGGGGAGGTTGCGGCGCCACCCCCTGTCATGCACAGAGCAGGGCCGATCAGGGGGTTGGGGCGCTGCCCCCTTGTCACTCACAGAGCAGGGCCGATCAGGGGGGTTGGGGCGCTGCCCCCTGTCACGCACAGAGCAGGGCCCATTCAGGGGGGTTGGGGCGCT